TTGTAATAAAAAAAATGTTCATTGTCGCGCCCGTACACGTGTCTCTTCAATGTACAGATACGTAATTTTTCTCTGTACGTATGTTCTTTTTTCTTTCTTCCTTTCTTTTCTTCTTTTTCTTTTTTTTTTTTTTTGGTCTTTTTTCTTTCCTTTTTTTTCTTTTTTTTTTTTTTTTTCTTTCTCTTCTCTTTTTGCCGATCAAATCGTATTTTTTGTTTCAGCCCTGAAGAACTGCCCGTCCGAATCATCGAACATGCCAACACCGAACATCGGATTCTCGAAAGTACTTATATTTCGCTCGTTGCTATCATGATATACTAACGGTTTAAGTCCATTGTACGGAGCGCGAATATATTTTTTACAGTGCATACAATTCTTTCAGGCTATGTCCGGATTTATCATGATGATGACGCAACAAGGAAAATTATTGTACATATCGGAAAATGCTGCGGAATACCTCGGGCACTCGATGGTAATCACGATACGTATTTTTTTTCTCTTTTTCTTTTTTCTTTTTTCTTTTCTTTTTTTTTTTTTTTTTTTATTTATATATATACATATACAGAATAGTACCGATGTTATTTAACTTTTTATCGAAGGATCAAGAAAGTGTCTTTATTTGTCTTTATCTGTCTTTATTGTCAATGGAATAATTTCAATAGTATTTACAATCAATAGGCACGATTCGTAAACAATTTTTTTCCCTTTCTTTCATTTCTATCCTTTTTTTTTTGTTATTTGTTTTTTTATTTTATATATATATATATATTTATGTTTTTTTTTTATAATAACATAACTCCAAGTAATAATATATTGAAGGGATATTAATAAAACTTATATCATCTTGATTCAATGTATATAAATGCAATGAATAAATGGATACATTTACGATTGCAAAGATTATAGGATTAATGTTAATTGCAACGTTGACGTACGGCTAAAGAATAATTAATTAATAATTAATTGAAAGATTTGATTTTGGAAATTTTTCTAATAAATATTTTATTCTCCTTAATGAAATAATAATAAATTATTTCTCTGTACGTCGATCAGACAGAGCTGTAATAAATTACAGAAAAATTTATATAATAAATTATTTTATTACGATACGACGAGTATTATGAATTATTGTAAAACATATGAAACATATTTTTATATACATATCTTTAATCGTACGTTCATTCAGGAGGATCTGCTAATTCATGGCGATAGTGTTTACGACGTGATTGATAAACAGGACCATATCGTAGTTCAAAATCAATTGGCAAGAAATAGTCCAGCACCAAACGATAGAAGGCTCTTCCTTTGTCGTATCAATGTATCAAGAAATTCTCGGAGACAGCTTCGTTTTGGTGATCAAAAGGTTAAAGTTCGTGAGATAATTTGATTCGTGAAATAAAAAAAAATTTATTGATATATTTATACGATTAAAAATGAATTCCTTAGGTCGTTCTCGTTGAGGGTCATTTTTTACCATTCGTTCCTGTTTGTAATCGTAATGAATTCGTTTTTCTGGCATCCTGTACACCGGTTGTTTTACCAGAAACTCGAGAGAGTATCGTTCAAGGGGCAACAAATATTTTTACTACGATTCATTCTATGGATATGAAGTACCTGCACATTGACAAAACGTAAGACGTTTTATAGATTGTTATTAGAACAGATGAAATATTAAATGTTACAAGATAATATAATTACAGGGCTGAAAGTCACATGGAGTACAATCGTTCGGAGCTCGTTGGTGTTTCGTGGTACAATCTCTTACATTGGGATTCGATACGAACGGCTTATTGCAAGCACCAAACAGGTAAAATTCTTTTAATCTGTTAAGTATATATATATATATATTTTTTTTTTATTATTTATAGAAATTCTGTAAATATTTAATATCTTTTAGTTATACAATCGGATCAAGAACGATCGAGTACAGCATTATTGAGGTTACAAAGTCGTTCTGGAAGATGGTTTTGGGTTCATTGTGTTCTCCAAGTTAAGGAAACGTCGGAAGAGTGTCAGCATCCTATAATAGTATGCACCAATCAAGTATTAAGGTATGTTTATTTCGAATATTTATCTTGGATAATATAATATATTAATTTTAAGATATATCATTGCAGCGATCGAGAGGCTGAAGTGATGCGTTCAAGTTCATGGTTGTATCAGTATTCTTCTCAAGCTAAATTCACTTACGGTATATGTTCAACCGGTCAGACACGTGGCGTGCAATATACTGTTGGAACGCAAAGTAGTGGTTCACAACAACAACAGGAATATGTACGTTCGTCGTCATTGGGACATAGTAGCGACGCCGAACAATCCCCGTCGATTTGCAATTTGGATCAAGAATCTCATAGATCCACTAAGACGGAACCGGTCGATTATCCAAGCAGATTACCTTGGGACGATGTCGAACCGGTCGATATGTCCATCGGTAGTGCCCAAGAACACGATAACAGAAATCTACAGTTTCATTCTCAACATGGCAATCATCATCACGGGCTTGGACAATTCTCTGGTAGATACCATAAGTCCCATCAAAAAAGTTCTTTGCATTTGGCGGGATACAGAGCGAAGTTTGTGCAGTATCACGGGCAGTTTAGCAGTGGCACCGACACACCGAAATATTACATCACCGATCTGGACAAGGAATATGGATGTACCGATCAGCGGTGGGTAAACGATGTTCTATCTTTCATTAGCGAGCAAATTCGTACGGTTGACGGTCAATCAGGTTTGATGTGATACTCCTTCCTGACGCGAACAGGAGTACCGTCCACAAACGACTCCCAACGAAAGTTTTACCAGCATCGATAACCGTTGGCTCGACCGCCGAGCCAGTCGAGTCCTCGACGGAACACTGGAGTTCCAGTCCAGCATGGTCAGACGCATTGCAGAGGGTCCCGGATGTGGTTCATCAGGAGCTAAGCCCATATATCACGACACCGACGACTCCTGCGGACACACCAGATTCCGATTTACATTCCGAGGCACCGATATTCAATTTCGACTGGGCCGGGGAACAACACGTGCCGAATTTGAAGATAACATTTCGTAGCTCGAATCACGAACCGAAAGATGTTCAGGACGTTCAACCTATTACTTTACAATTACCCCGTAGAAAGGGCCATTCCGGTGACGAGTCGAAGGACTTCACCAAATGAATGTCCGTTTCTCTTTAGTTAGACCAATCTCTCTTTAATTTAACAACTTTCACGCGCCTGATATCCTTCGACGGCCATTTATATCTGAATATCTTTTTTTTTTTCCCATACGATTGTAGTTTATAAATTTAACGGTGCTGTGGATAACCGAGTATATTTTTCGTTAACTCGTTGTCAGCGATTAATCTAATCGGTGAAGAAGTATTGTTGATCTGTGCCTTTTAGATTTTAATGGTATAGTTCTCTTAATAAACGGACCAGCGTCCCTTTTGCTTGCTTACGATTCCTAAAAGAATTGTAGGTGCAAGCAAAGGTACATATGTCCAATTTAGGGCTCATTTTTAAGTAGGAATATTAGTACTTACACGCATTGAAAACCGTGCATTTCATCGTGCATATGTAAAAGTATATTAATGCGATAATGCGAATTAATTATACGATTTTGCGTGAGAAGGGTGCACGATCGATTAACGATTAGAAGGACAACATACATTTTTTTTGTAGGTATAAAAATGAAAGGAGGGGGATAATAAGATCGATATGACAATAAAAATCAATGTATCGTTGCATAGTTACCTTATCATGAAAAAATATGGCGACGACGATGACCACGACGACGACCACGACGATTACTACTACTACTACTACTATTACTTCTACTACTGCTACTACTATTACTTCTATTTCTACTACTACTACTACTACTACTACTACTACTACTACTACTACTACTACTACTACTACTACTACTACTACTACTACTACTACTACTACTATTACTATGACGACAAAGAATCGTGAAAAAGCTTTTTTTTTTCTTATTTTTTTTTTCTTTTTTATACAACGTTTTACGTGAAACATCAGTATCCACAATTATAGATTTTTACGTGTACTTTATAGGAAAGATTTTTCCGCAACGTATTGCGAGTATTTTTTATGTAGACGTTCCTGAGCACCCAATGTATAAACGTACAATTTCTAATTAATAATGTCCGCGCATACAGTATCCTCTTATTCTCTCTCTTTTTCTCTCTCTCTTTCTTTATTTTTTTTATTTTCGTTTTGCCTCTCTCTCTCTCTCTCTCTCTCTCTCTTTCTCTTTCTCTTTCTCTTTCTTCAGGAATTTTATATTATTAATTAGAAAGAAAATAATCATCAATGGCGTCTTCATTCAAAAGACTCGTCCTCATTTTAATTAAACTCCTTTCGAGTTTTTGATTCTAATTAGACGAGAGTAAACATTTATCAGTAATGTCTTATTCTTCTTTTGTTTTTTTTTTCTTTTTTTTTTTTTTTAATAATCCATTTTTGAAAAGAAAATAGAATTTAATTGTCTTATACTCGTTATAAGATACTTACTTTATTGACGATTGAGGAACGTTCTCGCGTATTACTACCAATCAGTGAGATACATTATTTTTATATCTATTTATCCTTCTCTTTAATATCCCGTAGCTTACTATCGCATTTATTTTATTGTCCGTGCCATTTTGCTATTAGACAATTTTTTCGGTTTAGACGGTGCTCTCGTTAAATCGTTTCTCTAGTTCGAGTTTCTTTTTCCACCATCTACTCTCCTACACTCCCCCCTAACTACCCCCCTAACCTACCCCTTAGAAACAATGAATAGATTTCGAGGATGCGATGGATTTTCTTCGTACGATCACGTAATACGAGGAGAACGATGTAACACAACAACGATTATTCAGGCAAAACAAAAAGACAGTTTACCTTTTCTTTCGTTCTTTTCTTTTCTTTTCTTTTTTTTTTTCCCCTATTTTCTTTTTTTTTTTTTTTTTCTTATTTTTCCATTTATTCATTTTATTTCGTTTTTCTTTTTCTTTTTTTATCTTTTTAATGTTTTTTTTATCTTTTTCTTTATTTCTTTTTTTTTTTTTTTTTTTAACGATTACTACAAATTTCATAGAGTCGCACGAGGAAAGAAAATTTCGAACGCGTTCGCATCGTTTCTTTCAAAACGATCGATAAAATTTAAGGTACACGAGTAACGAGCGAGGTTGACCTTGGACGAAAAAGGAAGAAAAGAAGAAAGCAAAGAAGAAGAAGAAGAAGAAGAAGAAGAAAAAACAAAAGAAAGAACGAAAAACAAAGAAGAAAGAAAAAGGAAATTCAGTGTGCAGAGAGGAAATAACATGCCTTGGAACTACGTACAATATTTGTATATTAAAGTTTATTCATAAATTTAGCATTACTTTTGTATTCCCCCGTTCGATCGTATTGCGCCGTGGAAGAACATTTGTAAAAACTCTTGCGGCTACCGTTAGCCATGTTGTAAGAGTACCAATTCATTGGAAATATATAAGGCTTTTGGAGGTAATTGAATTATGGAGATTGACACATCAAAATTAATAATAATTATATAAACGTACAAAGGTAAACAACAGGATCTATTTTTTTTCTTTTTTTTTTTTTTTTTTTCTTTTAGGGTTCAAAGAAATTTCTTCTTTTCTTTTTCTTTTTTTTCTCGTTTTTTGATTTTCTTTCGTTCTCTTTTCTTTTTTCCTTTTGCCTCGTTTGTTCGTTTTTCTTTTTCTTTTTCTTTTTTTTTTCTTTCTTCTTCTTCGTAGCCAATATCGCGCATATCTATATAATACAACATTTTGATTGAGAAGATTCGTTAAAAAAAATCTTTATTTGAATTTCAGACATGATTTAAATTCTTTATTTCAAGGATAAGGAACTTCATAAACCTTGCTACGTTAAGAGCAACTTACGTTACGTCATATGGTTCATATCATTTTCAAAATCGCGTACTAAGTTTTATATCCGTGGCGAACTTTGAAATGTTTCTTTCTTTCTTTTCTTTTCTTTTATTTTTCTTTCTTTCTTCCTTCATTACCCTCATCGTTTTCTTTTCGTTCAACGTACTTACGTATTTCATATTCGAAAATCAACAGATTTTGATGAACTTAACGCGCAGCATTAACAGACAACAATCAGATGGAATCAGATGGAAATTCGACGGATAAAAGAAAAAGGATAAAATATCGATCTCATTATCCCCTCCCTATTATCTATCCTGTCCCTTTGTCCTCATTTTTTTTTTTTATTATGCAAATAATTTTTGTAAGAATAATAATAAGGATCGTCGTAACGTAGCTTTAATGATTTTCAAAATGAATTTATACGAATTTATTCATTTTTCATAATTACGTACTTTTTATCTTTCGCTCGTTTAATCCCTCCCTCTATTGTTTTCTTTTCTTTTCTCTCTCTCTCTTTCTTTCTTTTTTCCTTTTTTTTTTTTTTTTTTTTTTTTTTTAAATACGTTCTTTAATCCATTAAGAAAAATCAATGTAAAAAAGAAACGAATAATGGATTTGAAAAGATTCACCGTCCGGCCATTTAAAATCTATCTTCCTGAACTTGCTTAGAATCTAATGAGAATATATAAAAAGAAAAAAGGAAAAAGTGAATATCGAAAATTATTCGGAGAAAAATCGTTATCGGGTTTCAATCTAATATAAAAGTAGCGGCAAAAAGAAATACATATTATCGCGATTGTTGAATTATTTTTATATAATTGATAATTATTAATCGTACGACGTTGAATAATAAAATATCAATGGTGATCGTTTAATATTTCACGAGTAATAAATGATAAAAAATAAATGAGTAAAAAATAAATGATGACGAGTAAAAAATCAGATTATTCGTTAAAAAAAATATATTGAATTATTTCGTTTAAATCGAAAAATAGCCGGACGCTCGATAAATTCAACAAGAGAATGTATGAAACATTTGTTTATCTTTTTATCTTATTTTTTTTTTTTCTTTTTTTTCATTGCCTTTCTTCTTTTCCTTGCTTCCTTCCTTTCTTTCTTTCTTTCTTTCTTTCTTTCTTTCTTTTTTTCTTTCTTTTTTTCCCCTCCTTCTTCTTCGCTCTTTTTATCGACATGAATATAGAAACAATGGAAAGTTAGAGTCACAGACAATAGAGTATATTCTTCCACGATTTTCTAAATGTTATCGCGCTATACAATTCTACACGCTCGTTGCATCTTTGGCACCTTATACTCTCGACTCATATTCTTCGTTAATATAAAACACGTATATAAACATAGACTGAGTACATCGGTGTTTACAATTATCTACGTTTAAAAAAAGTCGTACATTATACACGTTTTGTTGTTGTTCATTTTTTTTTTCTTCATCTTCATCATCTTCATCTTCAAATCTTCGTCTTCGGTCTTCGTCTTTCTTGACCTCTCCTTGACCTCTCCTTCTCCCTCTTCTTCCCTCTTCTTCTTCCTGTCAGGTGTATGTACGCTTGTTACACATTAATAAAAAAAAATAAAAAAAAAAAAAAAAAAAAAAA